ACGGAGTAGTTCTTAAAATGAAATGACTGCTACTATAAGCTCTAGCTTAGAGGATGTGATTTATTATTAACCAATAGATGTAAAATACGGAGTATGAGGGTAAGGATATTTTCTTTTGAACTGTTTTGAGTCTCAGACTAGACCAGACCAGATCAGACTAGACCAAACCAGACCAGACCAAACTTCTATACTTATAAAATACATAGAGATCAGACGTTTACCAGACCAAATCAGATCAGACCAGACCAGACCAGCAAATTTCAGTCAAAAGAAAACATCCTAAATCACGGACCAAAAGAATTTTTTGGACCAACTGTAATAATTGACCAAAGAATATATTAGTATTTTAAAATTTGCTACACTTTTCTTCTTAAATGTATTTAGAAGTTTGTTATCCTTTTTTTTGACAAGTTTTTCGATTTTAAAAACATTCAATCACTTTTAATTTTTCTACCTTTTACGTTTTCTTTAATGTTTTTCTACCCTCATATGCCTTTTTTACACTATTCATTACTCATATTATTTCACTCTTAAATGGTGTGCTCAAACCTATTGTAATGAACTTTCAAATACGGAGGGTAAGTATTAACATTAGTAACGTATTGCTTTCACATCTTTATTATTTTAAGACAACATCTTGATTACAGAATTATTGTACTTTGTTTACATAAATCAATCAGAATATTTTAATTTAAAATTTTAAATATTAATAAATGATGAATTGGTTATTCAAACTAATCAAATATGGAGTATATTTTAGGTACAGTATTCTCCATCGTTGATACAAAATCTAATGACATATATTAAATAAAGTGTAAATTGTTTATGTAGATATCAAATCGCATTATACAAAATGTAATTGCATGACAACATATGTCAAATATGTAAGTCATGTTACACATAATAATATAATCATGTGTGTCAAATGCATAAGTATTCTATGTAGTGTATATTTATGTTATGTTATTATCTTATAAAACCTGAATCACATGAATTCGAAATATCAGGTAGATCACGAAGTACGAACCTTTTTTTAGAATAACAAAGTTTTAAGTCGTGAATCACTAGAGATGAAGAAAAACTCAGATTTATTCGTAATGTAATTTGATATGAAGAAGATTAAAGACGTGGTTGAACTCATAGTATTCTTATGAAGACTATATTGAACAAGATCGCAAAGGAAATTGAAAAAATTGCACGCGTATCACTAATTGACTTCTGATTTCTAAATTTATGACTTTTCTCAATTTTCCCAAAAAACTAACCCGATGCTTGCCCCTTTCTTCATTCGACGCTGCCTTCCTTCTCTCTTCGTTCGAAGTTGCAAGGCACGGCCAGAGCTGCCATGGATGCAAGATGCGAAGCTCCAACGCCCTCCGCCCCAATCTCAGCAGCTCTTCACCTCACAGATGATATCCGTGTTGCGGCGAACTCCAGTGATTGAGCGATGGCGGTGAGACTCCATTAACGGCGACTCCAACCTCAACAAAAACAACGAAATCGAATTAGTATGATATTAGATCCAGTTATTCTTCTCCTTCCTATGGTGTTTCTACGTCCTCTCTTGTTCAGATTTAGTGTGGTGGCTATGTTTCAGATCTGCAATGAAGCTAGAATTATAGGTCTATAGTGGTGGCCGGTTGGGACGGAGGCGGTGCTAACTCACCGATAACTACGACGTGGTAGCCTGGTGCCAGAGGGGTTGGGGCGTGGTGATGCTAGAGGGACTGGGGCGTGGTGGTGCTGGACTGGTAGGGGGTTGGGTGTCATAGGGGAGGGGGTTGGGTGAGGCAGCGGCTGGGTGATGAAAGGAGGGGGCTCGGGTGACGCATGGAAGGGGTTGTGGTGACGCGGGGCAGTGGCTGAGGGCTGGTGAACATTTGCTGACCGGAGCAGTGGTGGCCGGTTGCAGTGGCCGGTGGTGGCACTCGTGGTGGTGTACAGTTGCGGAGGCGACGACAGTCATTAACAAGGGACAGCGGCAGTCAATGACGATGTGGCGGCGACAGTCACTAACGTTTGGGCGGCGACAGTCACTAACGAGGGAGCCGCGGCAGTTACTCACGAGGGGCGGCTGCAGTGGTCCGGTGGGGCAATCACTTTGGCTGGTGCGACAATCACTGCGGCGGCGGAGTCACTATGACCGGAGTCATTGTGACCGGAGTCGCTGTGGCGGCGGGGCAGTCACTGTGGCGGCAGGGCAGTCACTGTGGCGGCGGGGCAGTCACTGTGGCGGCGGGGCAGTCACTGTGGCGGCGGGGCAGTCACTGTGACGGCGGGGCAGTCACTGTGGTGGCGGTGAAGTCACTGTGGCGGCGGGGCAGTCACTGTGTCTGGTGGGGTCACCTTGGCCGGAGTCATTTTGAACGGAGTCACTTTACAGTTTACACTGCAGGGTTAATGTGATGTTGGTCACATTTTTAGAATTTTAAAAAATAGATCACTTTTTTATCTTTTATCTTATTTTTAGTAATATTGGAATAAAAAGGCCAAGGAAATTACCCTAAATAGGACTAAAAACGTTTGAAAATTCCAAAATAGGACTGTCATGTTTTTATTCCCAAAATAGGACTAATTAATGCCATGTTTTGGCAGTACCAAGCTTTAAAGATGACAGTATTTTCCAAACTTGGCAGTAATTACTCCTATTTTGGGAATAAAAACATCACAATCCTATTTTGGAATTTTCAAACGTTTTTAGTCCTATTTCTGAAATTTTCCCAAAAAAAAAAGGAAAAGAGCTCCGATCTAAAATTTCAAGGAAAAGAAAGAGAAGATTGCTACACGAATGTAGATTTAATCTTTTTCTAATAAACAAAATGACGTTATAATGAGATTGATATACTATAGGCAATTAGGCTTTGTTTGCAATCACTTGTGCTTAAATAAAAGCACTTTTGATAAAAAGTGATTAGTAGTAAAAGTTGGTAGTGTTTGGTAAAATAAGTGCTTTTTGTGTAATAGAAAAAGTAAAAAGTAGATTCTACACGGAAGCCGAGAAAGTAAAAGTTGGTAGTGTTTGGTAGAATAAGTGCTTTTTTTCTTAAAAAAACCAAAATCACTTTTCTTAAGTGGTTGCAAACAAAGCCTTAGGCATGATATAATGGTTCGCGGACAGAGTAATTTGCTTTGTGTGTTTCACGTTCAAGCAAATTATGGTTAATAATAAATCGCAGTGTAATTTATTATTAACCAATAGATGCAAATGTGCAGTTAAAAGCACAGTTATCTTCAAGAATTTATTTGAATGGCTTCACGATTGAATTGTTAAATTTGAATTCCACCGTGAACTGCCTCAAATGGCGATGACCAGACAGAGTCTCCTATATAAGGATTTATTTGATCTTTTTATGTAAGTTCGATAGCTTATTTGACCTTTTCTCAAGATTAAAAAAAATAAAAAAAAAAAAAGAAAGAAGGAAACGTAACAAGTAAAAGCAAGAAAAGAAGAAAAGAAAAGACAAAAGAAAAAATAGGAATCGACCAAAAGGCAAAAACGTGATTCATCCAAACAAAAGTACATTTCATGATTTGCAATCTGTATTCTGAAATATGAATCGCGAATCACGAAGGGAAGCACGATTTTGATTCAATTATATAAGGGAGCATTATCTCAGCATCATAAGCCCTAGCCAGTTCTCGTCATGTGCTTCAGATTCTCACTAGGATCTGTTGTCCTTCGCCAATAAGTTGCAGAGTCCAAATTTAATTGTAAAAATGGCCGGCTGTACGGTATAATTTACCTAGACCTTGTGTTTAGAAATTGAATAAAAAACACAATATGGTATTCCAGTAAAATATTCTTTACTAAAAATGTTTCCGTAAAACTATAAAATTCATAAATAAGGATGTTTTTACTTGGACTGTAATTTGCCCCAGACCAGACCAGACCAGACCAGACCAGACCAGTCCAGACCAGACCAAACCAGTTCAAACCAGACCAGACCAGACATGGATAGTTATAAAAATACAAAGAAACCAGACCTTACCAGACCAGTTCAGACCAGACCAGACCAGACCAGCAAATTACCGTCCAAGTAAAAACATCCTAAATATACAAATAAAACAAATATCGAGGCCCATGACCACTAAGGCAGTAAGGCCTGATCCTTAGGTCGACCGCTCCTGAAGCCGAATGCAATTGCGCCAACCACATCTAGAAGGGGCTTGACTTATACTCCATTTATGTGATGATGAAGTGTCAAATAATTCAGAAGACTTTGGTGTTATCACAATGAACGAAAGAGACAATCGACCCTACACTCTTGACAGGCCATGCCACGCACCCACTCTCTCTTCTCCCCTCCATCTTTCAATTCACATGTAAAACACATACAAAAGCCACCCAGCCACACACATACATACTACCGTAATTAATGGAGATTGTTGAGTTCAATTCATATTTCAAATCGCTAATTAACTTAAAACACTCTCTCAATTTTTTGTTGCAATGGTTCCGTCAAAAAACGTTAGGACTGAATAACTATGTCGTATCTAACAACGTCTTCATTTATCGAAAACGCTAAAAAAGTTCAAACCACCCTTTTTTAGTTATATTTGATTTCCCAAACACACGTCCCCCAATATATATATACAACATACTATGTATTAATCAATGGGGATGTTTACAAAATGGCGTTTCAGTCAAAAAATTACGGTTGGACTCCTTGTAGCATTTTCAATAAATGAAAATGATACAGAGTATTTGATAAATAGTTGTTCGGTCCTAGCGTTTTAGGATGAAACCGCTGAAATGGAAACAGTGCAAATAGGAGAGTTTTGAGTTAGGGTTTTAAAATATGACGTTTTAATTTTTACAAATTTGTATGGTCAAAAACTAAATTGTCAAACATTTTTTGGTGACTCGCCAATTTGTTCTACTAGTCAAACTCGCTCACTTAATCGGCTATCGACAATCTGCTAACCTAATCCGCTCTCCGTTATCCGCTAAATGTAAAACACACCCTATATATATTCATCAATCAGCATGCATCTTCTCCAAACATTAATTAGCTAACATGCCTTCTTCAAGCAGGGCAGCTCAAGTCAGTATTCTTGATCCTGTCACCAGCACAGCTCGTAATTACAGCTTTCCGGCGGCAGAACTTCCGGGAAGAGGTCCGTTCATCAGCTCTAGAGCTGAGGCGATACACAGAGGGCAGTGGGAACTCATGGAGATGGTGAAGAAGATGCCTGCGGCATCTGATGATCAGCCGTCGTACTTGGACTTATCCTTGAAGGATCTCGTCGAACACCCCACACCCACAGTTGTTGTTGTGGTAGATCAATCTCGACAAGATCAAAGCTTGACCAGTAAAGACCATAAAGAGACAGCTTTGTTGGATCGTTATTTGCTGCATCCGGCAGCTATCAATAAGAGTAGTAGCACCGGGAAGATGACGCCGTCGAGAAGCCGGAAAGTGGACGAGAGGGGGCTGTTTCTGAAGACGGTGTTTCCGTTTTGCATGGGATCCCGAAAGAAATGCAATCTTCCGGCAGCAAATAAGAGAGCTGCCAAGGTTTCTCCTAAGCCGGCCGCCGCGGAGAAAGATGAAAAATCTATTAAAGCTGCTGGGAGTGTGAGTAAGGATTCGTTCTGGACAAATAAGATCTCATCCGGTTCCAACAGTAGCAATATCAATGGCCGTAGCAGCAACACGTGCACCACTAGGTATATATATACATACAAGTTTCTTTAATTCATCTTTTAATAAAAAAAATAATACGAGTAACAATTTTTAAAGAGTTTTAGTAAAGATTCCGAAATTAACATATTTTCTCTCGAAAATTTCTGTGTTTGATAATAATAATCTATGTTCTTTCCCTTTGTTTACTACCTCCCTTCTCTTTTAAATGGAATGTTGGACTTTTTGCACATGTTCTACTTTGACTACGTTTTATTCATTAATGTAATAATATATATTTTTGAAAAAAATATTATTAAATTTTTTCTCATTATAAATTTTCAAAATTTATTTTTTAAACTTTTTTTACTAATCGGGAATTATATATATTAATGGTCAAAGTTGTGCCTCGACAAATGTGAAATGTTGACTGTTGCATTTATTTAAGAACGGAGGAAGTATTAGATTTATTTATTATTTATATTTATATACGGAGTATTTATCATATTGGTGAGTGTATGCGCTCCTTATAACCTTTGATGAAATATTATTGACTAATATGTTGTAGTCATGTATGTAGACTTAGTAGTCATGTAGACCACCGAAATAAATAAAACCTGATTTTGTTTTGTGAATATAAAGATATTGAGATTTGAGATTTAAGACCGGAAAAGAGTGAAATGAGCAAAAAGTTTTGAGTTATTAACAATATAGTAGATGTAGGATGTTTTTACTTGAACTGTAATTTGCTGGTCTGGTCTGGTCTGATCTGGTCTGGTCTGGTCTGGTCTGGTCTGGTAAGGTCTGGTTTCTTTGTATTTTTATAACTATCCAAGTCTGGTCTGGTCTGGTCTGGTCTAGTCTGAATTGGTCTGGTCTGGTCTGGTCTGGTCTGGACTGGTCTGGTCTGGTCTGGGACAAATTACAGTCAGTAAAAACATCCGTAATTAAGTTTACATTTGACTATTGTATAACAAAATGAGTACTTAAGTTCAACGCTAAAGAAAATGGATCACTGCCCACAGATGTGAAAGTCTAAGGTAAAATATCAGATGACACTTTCAAAGAACTGCTTAAAATATTATGTTCACAAAAAATGTTTAAACGGTTGAAGTATTGTATTCATTTTGGTAATCCAATTATATATTGGACGAGGCCAGGGAGGGTCTACGCCCCACCTAAAAAAAATTAAAATTTCTAATATATATATATATATATATATTACTCTGTATATATAATTCCATTAAGAAATGATATAAAAACAAAGAAAGCCAATTAGTGTACAATTGATAGGTTGGCAAGATGGAATTCGATTGATGCATAGTGTACAAATTTCACTTTCTTTCCTTAAATCTCTTTGTCCTTCATACGGAGTATCTATTTAAAATTAGTCTTCTAAGATCAATTACTACAAAGCTAACACCAATTGATTTCGAATGTTAAATGAGCTAGACACTAATATTGTGAACGCTATTGGCCTTTTTGAATATTAGCCTGAAAAATTAATTTGTTCAATTCATTGGATTTGATAGGTGAAAATTAGTTCAATGTGTATGAGTTTGAGGTGTTTTTTGCATTCGATAGAAATTCTTATTCTTGCTATATTTATTTTTGTCTTTGACATTTATGTTGCAATAGATTTTATTTTATATTTGAAAATAAATCTTATCAAATAAGATACTACCTCTGTCCCCCTAAGTTTGGGACAAGAGAAGGTGGCACGGTTATTAATAAAAGTGGATTTATGTGGTTTGTATTGAATTGATAAAGTAAGAATAAAGTAGGAATGATTTAGAACCACACAAACTTTACCAAATAAGGTATGAGACAATCTTAGTGGGACGGACCGAAAAGGTAAAACGGGACAATCATAACGGGACGGAGGGAGTACTATTTTACAACATTTTGACATTTTTTTGCAATATACGTTATTTAATTAAATTTTGGCTCCACTTGAATGGCGATGCTGGATCCGCCCCTAATCACTATCATAAGGATTTTAATTAAATTGTCGATCGATCTGATTGCCTCAATTAATGTCATAGCCATTAGAGATGACAAAATGTGTCGAGTCAGGGCCGATATATAGGAGTGATAAGTCGAAAATATGGTTTAGTTAAACGAGTTCAAAACGTATTTAGACTATTGATATACTTAATTCATTTGTGGTCACAACTCACAAAGTATGAATTATATATGGAGTATAAAACTATACTAGCTATATGGTACCATTTGTACATTTTAGATGAGAAAAAAGTTTTTTCTTAATTTCCCATTCATCATTCATGGTATTTGCAGAAATTTGAATGAGTGTGATTCAAGATATTGAACTGAAGTTCAGTATGTTAGGATTGTTAGCGATATATGTTGGTATATTGCAATTCTCTAATCAGCTAATCTGATCTGTGTGAAACAATGCAGGATGATGGGCAAGAGCTATTTGCCCAGAATAAACTTCAGTAAGAGCAAATCATCTTCAGCGTGAAACAAATTTAAGAGGAGGCAACGTAACACTGGCTTAAATTGCAAACCTGTTGAATAGAATTGGCCGATCGAGTAAGATTGAAAATGGGTTGGAGGGATGTAGGACTCGTTTGGCGGGGTGTGTACTGTGTAGCTAGGCTAAATATTGCAATTCCCCAAAAGAGTACATTCTTGTTTTTTTGTTTTCTTAATTCCTAAATATAGTGTCACAACTAGTCAACAAACTGGTCGGTTGAGGTTCTATTAATGCCTGCTGAGACCCCCAATGATGCAATGTCATTAAACTATTGTTTGCTTATGTACATACCTACGTGATACTTGGAGCCCGTTTAACAATAAAAATGACAGAATTGAATCCGCTGATCAAATTGATTAAATTCTGACCAAAGTGATTGAATGTGTTAAACTATGAAGAAATGTATTTAAAATATAAAGTAAAGAAAAAACAATTTGAAAAATAGCTAAACTGATTATGTATAACTTCAGCAAATTCAGCAAGAAAAGTAATTATAACTTTTTTTCTTTTTATTACGTAGCATTACACAATGCATCGCATGAATAAAAAATTACTTAATAGTAGCATTTAGTCGATTTAATGAAATTAATTAAGAACAATAACTTGTAATTCGAGGTGAGTACTCTCGAGTGTCACAACGAGAAGCTCAAGTCTAGTTATTATATCTAACTCATGCATTGAAGATAAGATTGATAAGCTCAACGCAAGCAACTTTTTGGTTCAACTAATATACTTAATCCATTGTTGATTATTAACTATGAGACACATGCATTAATAACATAAGACTATTGCTTATGAAAGAATCAAGTGAATAACTAGCATATTCATTGACCGATTCTAGTAATATTCAATACCAAAACATCAACTAAACAATCACTTAGCGATACTCGGATATGAATATGAAATATAAATAGAGAAGTAATTAATATTCAAGAGAGGATGAGAGTAAAATTAAAGTAACTCACAATTTGCAAATCACAAACTTCAATATAGCAAAACCAAGCTAAGAGAGTACCTAAGTTACTAGGATAAGGATGGATGATTGATTGGTATCCAAAATGGGAAGGAAATGAGTGTATTTATAGGTGTTTTCATGCTGCATGGTCACATACCTGACCGAGAATCTAGGATACTTGACCGAGTATCTATGGCAGCAGCCCCAAAAGTATTGTGCTTAAATTTATTTAATTAAAACCCACAGGGTTTTGCCCTAACCTGATCGGGTTTCCTAGCAAATAAGATTTTCCCATGTCAAGTTCTCTAGCTTTTGTTTGATTTCGTATGATCTTCAGGTCAAATCATACTTGATCCATACTAAATCTGATATATCCGACCGCATGTGTTACTAAATCATATTTTTCTTCTTTCTTTGTCTTCCATGAAGCTTTTTCTTGTCTTCAAATTCCTTCCCGTTCAAATTCCTTCCTTATGCTCTTAAGTGATTTAATCTTACTTTTCCATCATACTTCTTACTTATATGTCAAATCTTTTAATACTATCGTATATTCTAATTCTAGTCTTAATATATACCGTATAATGTAACATTATTCTAAAATTTGTGTGTATGCATTATTAAAGAGCACATATCAACTACACACGATTAAAATCTAGGTGACAACTCCGGTACCTTTCTAAAAACAGGGGTACCGTACCTAGCATTCATTTGATTGGACCACATCTCTATATCAATTTTAATTTAGATTTAAATAATTCAACTGGTACATTTTCATTGATCCATGTGGACAAAGGTATGGATGGATACCATAGAAACCATCTAAAATCTATGAAATGTTGAAATGTGAGATTTTAATTAGTCAGTAAAATCGTTAAAATCTTGTATACCATCCATCACTATTCACCAACGCTCTGTGTTCCCAACAAAGGATGAAAAAGACTTGACCTTCCAAATTAACTGACCGGATATGATGGGGCTGGCTTCAAGGCCACACGAAATTTTCAGAACCACACGACAAATCATATGACCCCCAAACATCATCGTTATTAACCACCGCCGCCGCAAGGCACGTGGACCCTCTAGCTCCCGTCCAACAGTCAACGTCACCTCCGACGGATGTCCCGAAATCAGCTTCAACTTGCTGCGGCTGCATCATCATCATCACCGGCGGCTGCCACTCCATATCCGGCGGCCCTTCCGGCGTTGACCATTGACCACCGTCCTCCCCGTGCAATAGAGCCTGCAACTCGTCGTGAAGCTCATTCTGGTCACAACCATCCACTCCAAAAATGCGTTCTTCGCCGCCGTTGATAAAAGCTTCTGGATGAAGGCTTCCTTCTCCCTGCTCCATAATCATGGGAGCAAGAGGAAAGTCTCGTTGACCACTTCCAGAATGGTCAGCGAGAGTTGACTCGCCGGGGAAGTGAAGGGCGTCGGACGGTGACGTCGCGATTGGAGAACGATAAGGCGGTCGCTCGGCTTCCGGCCGAGAGGCGGGTTTAGACGAGCGTCGGCCCTTCCGGCAGCCACCGCCGACGGGGACGTTGCGAAGGGAGCCGCCCTTGGTCCAATACCGGCGGCAGCCTTTGCAGAAGTACCTGGGCTGTGAGAGGCTGTAGTTGTTGTAGTAACAAAACTTTGTATGGGTAGAGGCACACCTGGGGCAATTTGGAGCGATTTCAATGTTGCTTTTCCAAATCCTGTCCATAATTGTTACAAGACTTATAACTATAACATCAAAAAATAAACAACAATAATTCTCCCTAATAGCTAGTTTTATTCTTTTGAATGATTTGCCACTCCGTTATTGAAATTCTCTCGATCACTTCACACTATTCAATTCTTTGATACCATGCATGATCCATCATAACTAATGGGAGAATGGACCAGCGAGCTACACAATGTGTGTATATATATAAACACAAATGTTCATGCCGGGAATTTAATTCTTGAACGGAATGTCGTCCCGTTACCTCATTTGATGTGCTTTCGGAGTTATAGGTGAATTTTTTTGATGAAATTTCTTGATAATTTTTTTCACGGAGTGTAAATTATGTACACCAATTCAAATTTCAATTTAAAATGAAATTGGGAAGTTAATTTTTTTTAAACGGAAAGGTAGTTAAACAAATTATTGAAAATTTTGACATTTTTACTCTGTATATATCTTGGTGCAATGTTTTTCAATAATTTGTGTAACTAACTTGCCGATTAAATTTTAAGCTTAAATTTGACGGCATCTACATTTTATGAAAATATTCTCACAAAATTTCATAAAAAAATCTCACCTAAATGCACCTGAAATGGAGGTGTCCAGACGGCGTTTCGGTCGGAACACACATATACACACACAAGTGTGTGTGTATAGCGATTCTCTTGCATTAGATTTGATAAATGTGCATCGATATAAACAATTGAATAATGCGACTACGTTTTCATAGATAAACTTAACACTTATATTATCATGAACTCTGCATTAGGTAAAACACAGATGTGAAACAACCATGCTCACCATAAACGTACTATACACTACTAGTAGTATATATATACACATTTGGGATCAAAATAAAATATGACATAATGAGATAAATGAAAACAAATGCGATGTTTTATATATGAAAATTATACATTCTCTCAAAAAAAATTATACATTCTCTAATCGGATGTTTTTTTGTACACACTGTTTTACACATCGACTGAATTGCATGTGCACAAACAATTATTTTTCATTTTGTGAAAATAATTGTTTTGCACACCGACAAATTTTTTAGTGGATGCCACAAAAAATATTGTCGATGCTAGCTAGCCAAAAACAGTTCTCTTCACAAAAGGAAAAAACTATCTGTGCAGATAGATAATTTGACCGAAGTATAAAATTGCGAGTATAAAAAATGTGTACACAAAGATGATGATTGATTAATAGTTGATTAATAGTGTACAAATGTACAATTATTGAAATATATGGTACGTCGCCATTGTAACTGTATATTGGTAAATCAGAGTATCATACTAAGTATAAAACAAAATGGCACATAATAAAATAATTACAGTAATATATACTCCCTCCGTCCCATAATAAACTTCTCAGTTTGACTTCACACATATTAAGAAAATAAATTTGACTTTACTGTGGAGTGCACTGTTTTGCACTATTTAAACACTGTTTGACACTGTTTGGACACTGTTTGGCACTGTTTGACACTGTTTGACACTGTTTGGCACTTTTTTGATGTAGATTATTTGTCAAATAAGGAAAGTTTTGAAGTGTGAAGCTAATTTCGAGACTGCCCGAAAATGAAAGTGAGAAGTTCATTTTGGGATGGAGGGAGTACGTTCTGTTGGAGAAGGAAGGGTGATGAACGGTCTGGTCGTCATCCTATATCATCATGTGGTCCACATTATGTACGTGGAACGGAATGGTTGCAAACAAATTAAATTAGATGGGCATTTCATGAGGGTCACCGTGCCATAAACAATCCTCTAATATTGTCTTATTTTATCTTTTTGAGAATTCTGATTAACATTGTCTCATAGCAAATTTGATAAAGTTTGTGACTCTATGTCATTTTTACCTTATTATTCTTCCTTTAGGCTGATTGCAACCTTGGGGTGAAAAGGCTAATTTTGAGCTTTTCACCCCCCAAAACAAGTGCAATCCGATGTATTGAGAAGGGCCAAAGTGGGTTGGAGGCCCCTTGGGAGTGGAATTCTGTAGCTTTATTCACGGAAGAATGGGTAGCCTCTGCTGCGTGAAAGGATGGGCCAAGATGAAAAAATAAATCCCATTTTTCTTTAAACTATTTTAACTTTTATTTTTGTATTTGAATTTTTATAAAATTTATACCAAAATTCATAACTTTTTATTATCTTTCATATGACACCAATATTGAATATATTAAGTTAAAAAAAATAAGTCTCAACTACACGAGCTTTCCGGAACAAAAAATATTTAACTCTAAATTTATTTATTTTTACATCGGAACGTTTAGCTTTTCGAATCGTAACTATTCGCAACAAAAAAAAACTAGAAACAAATTGATGTATAATAATAAAAGTAAGACAACAATTAAAAAGAACTTCGTTAGGTGAATATATATTGACGGTACTGGATTGCAACAAAAACTGAATTGACTGAATAAATACGTATAAAGTTGTGAGGAATTTGATTTATTGACGGAACTGAGTTGCGGTTAGCCTTATCAATCCAATATTAATCATATACACTTAGTTTTCTTGATAACCGTGTCACTTCTTTTGTTTTAGTGCCAATTATGCCAGTGAGAGTCGTGAGAGGGGGTAGCTAGTATCAAAGTACATTATCCAATATTACGCATGCAAGTTGATGATCTATATATATCACCATTTTAGGTAGTACGTTAAGAATTAGGTTACGGTTGTACGTATAGCTAGTTGAGACCCGATTGTTTAATTGATGTCATGGGCTGATCTTGTACTTTGGGCTAAATTAAAGGTATATGATCCATGGTTTCTGTTTTGATAATGCGAGGTTAATTTTTTACCGTCAACTCAAGTCCAGGACAAAAAGAGAAAAAAAGGGACAATAATGAAAGAAATACGGGACTATTTTGTATAACACTTTCAAGAAAAGTATAAAAAACATCTATAATTTTTTTATAGATCTGCTATTTCGTATAGCGGATAATTTACCGATCGGATATCAATGAAAAAGATGAAGTGCAAAGGTGAATTAATCCACGATTACGTAGATGTATGATTATTTTGAGAATACTATTGAAAGATGGGACGATTGTTATCAATTTTTTCTAAACAAACCTTTAATTAGATATGTAGTTTATTGTAATATGATAGGCTTTGTTTAATGTAAAAAAAATGAATATGTGTTTGTTTTGAACGGAGTAACATCTTTTTCAGAAGTATGCCTTTATGCTTCCATTAATACCATTGCGGGTAATAAAAGTTCCTTGAATATCCGAACGATATAAAAACAATCTTTAGTTAGATCTTTGGTTACAGGGGAAATATATATTAATCGTAAGCAATGATTTGTGGAACAAATTCAAATCTTGATGAAAAGATATTTTAGTCCACCATATGGGCGTTTTACGTCATTTTCTTGATGAAATGTAATAAAAAATGTGTTGGCCGGAGAGGTTGTTTGCTTTCACGTCTCTGATTTTTCTGTTTTCCTCCGATAACATGAGCTTTCACATCCACTTCACTCTCCATTTTTAACACCTTGCCTACCTTTAGTTATGTACGATTCAACTTACATACGGAGTATTTAATTTGTTGGAGATCAAATCAATTCAAAACAAACATGCATATCAATATAACCACTGCTCATAACCAGGGGCGGAGCCAGACATACATGATTAAAGGGGCCAATTCTTAAAAATTTTACATTGCAAGGGCTAAAGTTTAAAATAACAAAATATTTTCTATAGATTAGAATTATTTATACATAGGGAATAGACCTAAATAGGACTAAAAAAAGATGGGTAGATAAATAGGGCCTAAATTTTTTTAAACCCTGAATAGAACTCATTTTAAACTCAAGTGACAAAATTGCCCTTACTAATGTCGCTCACAGCTTCGCACCAATGTCGCAGCAATTTTGAATTCAAGTCCCGGGCTGCATCGATTAGATTACCCACAGGCTGGAGAAGTCGCCGGCGCTAGTTACCAACCAAGTGGTCTGCGGCTAAAGTCTTCCTCCCCGACCTCTTCTTCCTCCCTGTCCTTTTCTTCTTCATCCTTTTCTTCTTCTTCTTCCCCTGCGTCATCCCATTTAACATATTTGTGCTGCGATGAGTGTCGGCTTGTTCGTACCTTTTTGTTTTGGCTTACTTTTTTATTTTTGTTTCACCTTTTGATTTTTACCTTTATTTTTGTTGGTGGTGTTTACGTTTTAGTATTTTAATTTTATTTTATTTTGTATTCTTAATTATGTTCTTTGCAATATGTCGTAGCTTTTGTTCGTGTTGTTGTACGTTTCAGTTTTTTAACTTTATTTTACTCAGGATTTTGGATTCATTTAATAAAAGTAATTTTCTGGATTTATTGTTTATTTTGACGAATCTTTTCATTGATAATGAAATGACAAACAATGTCACAATATAATGTGGTGGGGAACACTTGTTTTAGAACTATGCAATTGCCCATTGTGTAATATCATTGTGACTATCGTGTCATTGTTTCCATTGATAATATTATGATATTTTAACATTTGTAAGAACTGACATTATTTTCGTTGATGACATTGTGATGTTGTGTAATAATATTATTTGACATTGTTCAGAAGTGATCAACAATGTTATATACTCACAATGTCAATGACAATGTTATACCTACAATGTCAATAACAATGTTATACTCACAATGACAATGTCAATGTAACTGACATTAAATGACATTGTAGCAATGACAATGAATGTCATTGCCAATGGTGTGAAAAATGTCATTGTGATCATTACAATGTCAATTTTGAAATTAGAAATATTTCACAATGTCATATATGTAATATTACAAATTATAAACATTTTCAAAACAATGTTATAATATTAACATTATAGTCTAAATTCAAAAACACAATGTCAATGACAATGTTATAAAAGAAATGCCATTGTAACAAAGATGTAAAGACAATGTCATTATTAGTATTGTGACAATGTGAAATTACAATGTCATCGGAATCGAACTATTCTGAAAAGAATGTCAACGTTACAAAATGTCATGCTAAAATCATTACATTGTCATTATGTATTGTGTGACAATGTTGATATCATTGTAAAATTATGTGATAGTACACATCAAATTGTGACATTAACCATGACATTTGAATTAAATATTATCTAAAAATAAACAGTAGAAAAAGTTAGAACTCAATAAA